TGATTATAATCTTCGACTCCGAGAATTCTCGAAGAGCCTCATTGATCGGGCTTATACATGGTACACCACATTGGCACCGGGCTCTATGCGTTCCTGGGATGATTTGGCAAGCAGGTTTTGTAAAAAATATTTTCAGCACGAGGAGAGGGTTACCGCCACGCAGCTCAATAACACTAGCCAAAAGCAAGGGGAGGATCTCGTGGACTTTGTGAGAAGGTTCCAGGACTTGGCTCTCGACTACTTTGACAAAAAGGATGAAGAGGCACTTGTTGAGATTTGCATCAGCAACATTGTAGTAGACTATAGAGTGTACTTAGAAAATATTGGCATTAGTCAATTTTCCCGGCTACTGGAAGCAATAAGAAAGACGAGCATGTCTGTCAAACCGGCTGGACAAAGAAGTTGGAGGAGTGAGAAGAAAGAATCACATCAGACGTTAGCCACAGACGATAAGCCATCTAATGACTACAGCGCACGCAAACGAAAGGATAGGGAGACATATCCGCTATTACCTTGCAAAGATGAAGAGTTTCATGTCATCCTCGACACGATGATTGCTGATGGCGCGATCAAACCCCTCAGGCCCTACAAGGTTCCCACCAGGGAAGAAAAGAGTGATCCCAGATATTGTCGCTATCACCAGTTTGTGGGACATCCGACCACCGCTTGTTAAAGCTTAAGGAGGATCTTACATGGCAAAATACATGAGGGGGTTCTTGAGCTTCCCTCTAGGAAGCAAACTATTGATGAAGACCCTTTGCCGAAACGGAGGGGGAAAGAGACAGTTGCTGTTATTACATGTTCGGATGATTTGCTCGATGATGACGAATTGTGCCACCCATGGAGGAATGATCCAAAGCCACCAGAGGCCATTTGGGAGCCTTGTGGAAACATGGATAAAGCTTACTGGTGCAAATACTCGAAACCATCAAGCTACAACACGCCATGGCCACTCGCTGATGGATGGGATGGCTGTGCAGACAATGAAGTGTTCATGTTGGACATGCCGGAAGAACAATGCCAGGGAGCCTCATCCGGACAGCAGGAAGCGACTGCTGTGACATTTCACACCCTTACAGAAGATGAGGCAACTGTAATGGAGCGATATCTAGGCTTGAAGTAAGGACCCACAGCTTCACAAGTCCGCCAGAGGAATCCAAGAGTTAAGTCGCTCTTTGACCAACTTGATTTCGGGCCTCAAGCAAGGGAAGCAGCTGATGTAGCCCTCATGAATATTTCTGCAGAATCCAACCCCCATTGCTTCACTGCTCAACCTCAAAGGTCATTCTTGGAAAATGACAATGCTATTGTTTTCACAGATGAAGACATGGAAGTTCCATACCCGAATCATAGGCGGCCACTCTACCTGGAGGGGCAAATCAATGATGTGTTTATACGGAGGGCTTTGGTAGACACGGGTTCTTCTGTCAACATTTTGCCTCTGTCTATACTTACAGCAATTGGTATTCCACTATCCAAGATTATGCAGTCCCAGAGAAGCATTAGCGGCTTTGGGAATCAAAGTGAAGTTACAGTTGGATACATGCAAGTAAATTTGAAGGTAGGGCGAATCCAGTCACTTACCAAGTTCTAGGAAGGCCATGGCTCAATAAGCATAAACTGGTGGTCTCTTCTTACCATCAATGTGTAAAAGGGAGGATTGTGCTAAGGCCACTTCGTATACCTGGGAACCAAGCACCGTTCAACCAAAACGAAGCTCATTACTCAGAGGCAGAGTTCTACACTGAATGCACAGGTGCCGGAAGCAACCCATCCAAGGATTTCGGGACTTACCTGCCATCGTGGACCGAAATTCGCGATCTAAGCAACGAGGAGCTCATAACTATCGTTGATCGAGAAAGAAAGGGACACTCGGAGGTCAACAACCATGCCTACAATCATCCTCAATGCTCAAAGGTGACACTGCCAGATGGACGTACTGTATACCGTTTATGACGGGATTGGGGGCTTGACCGCATCCTACGGGAAAGCCCCGAGTATGGAGGAGAAGCCATGCAAGCAGACAGCTGTAAGAATCCTAGTGACAAGGCACCCTTGCTTTATGCCTTCCAAGAACCAATGACAGCACCCAAGCACATGCAAGATGGTTCAACAGCAGTAGCTGAGCAGTTGGAAACAATTGATTTAAGTAGTGACCCCTCTATCCCAAGGCCCATCTCTGTCAGTGTTCATTTAACAGGGGAAGAGAAGGAAGCTTTGGTGTTTTTGTTGAAAGAATTCTGAGATGTCTTTGCTTGGAGCTACGAAGAGATGCCCGACCTTAATCCAAATTTTGTAAGTCATACGCTGAATATTGAGCTCGGTACAAAACCGGTTGTACAGCCAAAAAGGAATTTTCATCCTGAAATTGAGAAGCAAATCAAGGTGGAAATTGAAAAGTTGTTAGCTGCTGGATTCATCAAGCTAATCAAACACCCGACATGGCTAGCAAATATTGTGCATGTGAAGAAGAAAACTGGGGTAATCATAATATGCACAGACTACCGTGACTTCAATCGAGCCTGCCCAAAGGATGAGTTCCCGCTGCCCAACATGGATATTTTGATCGATTCAACCTCGGGTCAAGGCATGCTGTCCTTCAAGGACGGATTTAGTTTCTAAAATCAAATCAAGATGTCTCCCAAGGATGCTGAGAAAACAGCCTTTCGAACGCCCTATGGAAATTTCTACTACACGGCCATGCGGTTCGGTCTCGGAAATTTCTACTACGTGAATGACCTTGTAGTAAAATCTAAAACCAGAGGAAGTCATCAAGGAGTTCTGAGGCGGGTGCTGGAAAGGTGCCGGCTGTACGGGTTAAAAATGAACCTAAAGAAATGCGCATTCGGAGTCTCATCTGGCAAGTTCCTGGGCTTTCAGGTACACCAGCGTGGTATAGATGTGGATTCTGAGAAAACCAAAGCCATATGCTCTCTTGCACCACCTAAGAATCCAAAGGAGTTGAAAAGTTTTATGGGAAGATTGTCATACATTCGGCGTTTTATTCCAGGCCTTGCAGCTATGATAAGTGTTTTCACTCCTTTACTCAAAAAGGGGAAGCCATATATATGGAGCCAGGAATGTCAAGAAGCTTACCAACGGGTACAACAACTAATCACCAAGCTACCCACAATGAGGGCACCTATTCCAAGACTTCCACTTAAGCTTTACTTGGCTGCGACCAATGCTGCGATTGGAGCTTTGCTTGCCCAGGATGGCCATGACAGGGAGGAAAACCCCATTTATTATGTAAGCTGACAACTAAGAGGAGCTGAAGCAAGGTACCCAAAAACGGAACTTTTATGCCTTGCTCTTGTTTATGCTGCGCAGCGCTTGCGACACTACTTCCTTGCTCACAAGCTACAGCTCATAGTAAGATCCGACCCCGTAAGATATCTACTTACGAGGCCGGTGTTATATGGTCGTCTCGCACGTTGGTTGCTACAGCTATCTGAATTCGATATCACATGTGCAACTCCTAAGGCCATCAAGGGACAAGCCGTAATTGACATGCTAGCTTTATTTCCTGAAGTAGAGGAATCAACTCTTTCCGAGGAAGTCCTGGGAGAGCTGCCGGAAATGGTTGCTACTGTTACCGAGGGGGAGCCATGGACCCTCTACTTTGATGGGTCTTCCACGTCAAAAGGTGGAGGGGCAGGTGTGGTGCTCATTAATCCCGACGGGCAAGTTACGGCTCTCTCATTCAAGCTAGACTTTCCATGCACGAACAATGTGGCAGAGTACGAAGCTTTTATTATAGGATTGTTCACAACAAGAGAAATGGGTGCAGAAAGGGTGAAGATCATCGGTGATTCGAACTTAGTGCTAAGCCAATTGCAAGGAAGCTGCTGTAAAGGAAGCAACCTTGGCGCCATATCGGACAACTGCTAAAAGGCTCATTAATTCTTTCAAGCAAATTGTGATGGAGCACATTTCAGGAGTCACCAATAGGTACGCTGATGCTTTGGCCACATTGAGATCAAAGCTCTCATTTGTACAAGAGCAGCCCAACATCACCGTAATAAGGAGAAGCACACCGGTGATCGAAGCAATGGCCTAGGAGGACCTGCTGGAAGAGGATGATTGGAGAAAGCCACTAAAGAAAAAATTAGGCGAAGACAGCAGGATTAAAAACTTGAAGGATTATGTGATTATCTTTGGGGAACTCTACAGACGTCTTCTAGGAGGTGTTCTGATCCGGTGCGTTGAGGTGGCAGAAGCAAGGAGGAGGTTGCAAGAGGTACATGATGCCACTTGCAGCTTGGAACCAGTAATCAGCCTGTATCGGCACTTACAAAGCAAAGGTTATTATTGGCCAGAGATGAAGAAGCAAGCGGCTGAACTACAGTCCCATTGTCCCACCTGTTTTACGATACCCTCCACAGAGGAGTCATTGACTGTTTCTTTTGTAGAAGATTTGAGGACTCCATACTTGGCATTCTTTGTTGGAGGAACTCTGCTGACCAACCCTAAGCTTGCCTACAAGCTCAAAAATACCGTAAAGAGATATTTCGTTGATGGGTCAACTCTCTATCGAAAAGGGTTTAATGGGGAGCCGCTAAGGTGCTTGGGAGAATCAAAGGCACGTCAAGCCATGCAAGAAATACATGCTGGATAGTGCGAGGAGCACCAAGGAATGAAGAAACTTCACCGGCAGCTACTAAGTGTCAAATATTACTGGCCTACCATGAAGAAGGATGCACATGACTTTGTTAAGAGATGCCACACATGCCAAATCCATGCTAATTTAAGTCACAAACCTCCTACATTGCTACAATACATGCGCACTCCTTGGCCTTTCCATACTTGGGGGCTTGATTTAATTGGAGCAATCCATCCCCCTTCCGACGGCTACATATGGATCCTTACCGCTACGGAATATTTCACAAAATGGGTCTAGGCAATTCCCTATCGAAAGGCCACAGGAGCTGCTGTCTCGAACTTCATTCGAGAATACATTGTGTGCAGATTTGGAATCCCATACAAGATGATCACCGACAATGGCACGCCTTTTGTTAACAGGCAAGTAAGCTCAACCCTTAGTGGGTACGATATCAAGCATCGACGTTCTACACCTTATTACCCGTAAGGAAACGGACAAGCAGAGGCTACCAATAAAACGATACTGAGAATTTTGAGCAAGATGGTATATGATACCAAGGGAGTTGGAGCATTCACCTGCCGGATGCTTTGTGGGCTTACCGCACCTCGCTAAGGAGTGTTACAGGTTTTTCACCTTACTCACTTGTGTACGGGTCTGAAGCTATTTCACCTGTGGAAATCACCATTCCAACAGCTAGAATAGCGGCTGTCAATGATCTTGAATGGGATGCGAAGACATGCTCAGATTGGCGTTTGCTAGACCTCGAAGCAGTTGATAAGAGAAGGATGGAAGTAGAAAGAAGGATGACACTCTACCACAAGACTGTTGCCCAAGCATATAATAGGACCGTTAAGCCTCAAGCCTTCAAGCAAGGAGATCTCGTGCTAAAAGTCGTTGAACATGTGAGAAGGCCAGTGTCGAGACCTTCCAAGTTTGCCCCACAATAGGAGGGTCCATTCGCAGTCAAGGAGGTACACAGCAGTGGTTATTATCGCTTGATCTCTGTCAAAGAGGGCATGCTAACGGATCCCATCAATGGAAAATGGCTCAAGCCCTACTACTGTTAAGTGGGCACAATATCTTATTTTCATATTATCGCATTTCCTTTTGTTTAAAAGAAAAAATATTGTCTCCTTCTATAGGCTCGCTTTCGTTTTGAAAAGCTTTTGTAAGAATGTACCGTCATGGTAACATGGGAATAAAGGAGTATTTTGAAAAAGATTCTCTGAAAGTTTGCCCTTTTTCATATCTTGAATTCCTTTTTGAGCATACGTTTGCAAGTATTTTTTTTTAAAAATAAAATAAAATAATGAATATATAAGAAAATATTACTCAGCGAAAGACGTGCAAGGCAAAGCCATTTGAGTGGGATCCTAGGTCAGTAGTAGATTTCGTGCTTTAACAAAATGAAAAGAAACACGCCAGGCCAAACACTCGCAAAAGGAAGCTAGCATGCTCATAAGGTCCGAGAACCTTCAAAGAAAATAGGCAGAGCGTCAAAAGGCCATCCTAACAAAATTTTGGCAACAACCACCATACTTCAAAAGAGTACTCAATCTGTAGAAAAAAAAAAAGAAAAACTCAAGCAAAGGATTCTACCAACCAGGCATTTTATACATGTTAAACAAAAGTTACAATGTGTTTCTAGCAAAAAAAAAAAAAAAAAGGACATAGGTTCCGGCAGCTAGAACACAATAGCACTACAATGCCAAGCTACCACCATACAAGTTTCACAACATAAGTCAGATCAAGCTATACAAGCTAAGAAGTAATGTGTGCTTCAATCCCGAACGAAACTCTAGAATGTGTCAAGCTAGTCAGTCATACACTGAGCAAAATACGACCTGCAAAGCAGAACAAAGAAGAATGTCAGGAGAAATCAGGGTAACATTGAGCATATGTAGAATGAAGGAGGGACGATAAGTTACGAACCTCAGGGCACCATCAGGGATGGCTAGAAAAGAATGGAGAAGGCCCTGTGAGAAGATCTTGTCACTGCTTCCATCACGCAGTCAGCACTATCAGGGGAGACACCTTGGGCAGAAAGGAACCCACGCAATCCCATACGTTGGTTTTCCAGCTCACGCTGCTTGAAGGCCAAAGCCTCTGTCGCTACCCTTATTTCATCAGGGCCGGGATTTGACTTCATGTTATGAACAGCCCGTACCCCAAATACGGCACGTGCCAAATCCTTCACCAGGTTCAGAAGGGACTCTGCTCGAAAGCCTAGAGTCATAGCCTCACAAACTGCATCCCGCCAGCAAAGGAGCCTGTAATCAGCGATGTCTGGCAGCTGCACGGTATCCATCCCATGGAGCACCAAGCTGAGGGTCCGGAAAGCAGCACACCGCGAGAAGGAAGAAGTAATACCAGTTATGTCCATAAAATCCCCGTACTTGTCTAGAAATTTCTCCAAAGCCGCGACCGTCTCGGGATAAACAAGAACTTCCTGGAAGGGTGCGTAACCATTGAACCGATGACAGAGCAGCAAAAGTTCATCTGCGGATCGAAGGACCTGAGCACCACTGTCAAAGAAGGCCATAAATGCAGTAAATGATTCCTCCCACTCTAGCCAAGACATATTAGGAAGGTGTTCTGCAGCAGTATCCCCGGCAGCGGTAATGATAGCCTACGCGTTTTCAGCAGCGCTCGCATTGTCCGGTTGAACTGCTGGAAGAAGTGCTAGGGGACTAGGCCCTGACGTCCGGAGAAGTGGTTGAATATGGGATGGAACAGGCAGGGTCTCGTGGATGGCAAAAGTGTTGCTCCGGAGGGTTGCTTTAAGGGCTGGCGAAAAGGCAGGGTCAAGGTCCCTCTGGAGAAAATGCCGGAAGATCGATGGTAAAAGGCTCGTGACTTGTAATGTAGGTGTTTCATCCCGAGAATTTATTGGTGTCATGGTTGGAGAAGATCCTACAAGGGCTTCCTCAACCAGTATATTGAATGTGTTGAAGGGAGAAGGCACTACAGGCACGATTTCCAAGTTCGAAGAGGCATACTCAGCCTGCAAAAAAAATGTGCATGCAAGGATCAGTACGAGATAATTGACAGGTGATGGGCATTGGCAGATGAGTGGGATGAGAAGGTAAAGGGAATATTATAGGCATGGATACCTGAGGGGGACTCCGGGCAGGGTCAGCAATGGCTACTGCAAGGCTTGAGCCCTCAGCAATGTCAGTAACCTGCAAGATGAGCACGCGTTGAGTGAACAGATTATGGTGTACAGAAGGAAAGGAGGACATAATCTAAAATGCGTTAGTTACCTGCTCAGCGCTAAAATGGCTCGTACTGCTACTAGCAGCCCCAAAGAAAGCATCTGAACCACTTTGTCCTCCTGGATAGTAGCTGGAATAAGCAAGTGCATCCTCATTGCAATCATCATTGTAGTCCCTGTCAGAATCTTCATGCATGTCACCGATGTCATCAACGTTCTCTTGCTCTGGAACATCAGCCTCAGATTCAGTGGTGTCGTCATCGTCACTATCATCGTCAATTGTCACCACGGTTGGGGTTCCGGCGGCTTCAACATTACTGGTGCGTGTTCCAGTAGATCTTGCATGTAGAATGCGCATGCTACGACGTTTAGGGGGTCACCTGAGGAGATACCGGGGGTGTGTCACTTCTTTTTCTCTTTAGGGTTGTACCCATTTTTCCTATAAAATATATATATATAATAAATAAGTATGTACCCAGATATCATACGCGCATAACAAGTAAAGAAGGCACAGAGAAGTATTGGAAGTGGGGGGTACTTACAGCGAAAAGGTGAAGTTTCCAACGCCTTGCCGGTATGACTTGGGCTCTCAGATACAGCAGGCTTCGAAGGCTGTGGACGTCCAGGGGGAGTTGCTTCTTTAGTCCGAGGGGGGCTACTTGGTGCTACTTTTGGGATGAACCTCATAGGTTTACCTGTACTTGGCTCCTTCCCTACAGTTTGCTTCATTTCCTGCTTCCGGTTGTCGAATGTCGGTGTCACAGTTTTTCCAGAGCTATGGGTACTCTGCGTTCTGGGCTTTGAACTTGTCTTGGGAAATTCTCCGACAACGTCACCTGACTTGGAAATAAAGGGCAAATTGCGCTTTTGGCTTAGAGGGATGGCTTTCTCTTCCAACACCAAACCTGCAAGGCGGGCTATTGTAGGAGGCAATCTGTCCCCGGGAGAGGATTGGAACTCACGGAAGGAGGTGAGGCAACAGTTCCAGTAAGCTTGGTAGCCTCTGGAGAAGCCACCAACCCTCGCCTTGCTTGCTAAAACGATGGACCTGCAACTAGCTGGTATGTGGTCATTGCTCCAGAAGATCCTGTGTAGTGCAAAGGGGTCACCATGGTTGGGACTACTGGGAACCCCTTGGTCAAGCCCGAACTGCCGCCTGACTCGGTGTGGAGAATAAGTCACAAAAATCTCTGCGCGATTATCCCCAAGAATAGGTAAGGGGATAGGAGCAACGTTCAACAAAGCGTACTTTCGAAACTGGTCACTCTGCGATACGGCTGCTGGAACTTCAGCAGTATCACTGACGTCAGCATAGAAGGGCACGAAATTGAAGATCTCTGCTGAGGTGCCGTAGGGACGAAAGACAAAATTCTCGACATTATCCAGCAGCTTTAAGAAATTCTGGCCTTTCCGCTGCATCCTCTTGAACCACCTGCAAACTAACGAGAGATTGGCTGGCATGAAAGAACCATTGCCCCAGTCAGCAAACTTCATAGCGTGCGAATGGGGGAGTGAATGCACATCCAACCCTCTGAGACGCTCTCACAAGAACACCTGCAAGAAACCAGAATTTAGAAGGGTCTCCACACGCCATGGTTCTTGATGCATTCTTTTCCAGAAGCTGGATTCGATTGAGTAGATGGTATAGATGCCCCAGGAACATGGGGGCTAAGGGGATGGTGTCGCCTCGGGCTATGGCCAAAGCCAAGGGAAATACACGCTCGTGCAAGCAGTCCTGAGAAAAGTCACAGAGCACGAACCGCCCAAGCCATAGAGCTATAAATGCAGCCAACCGGCAAGGACCCTGTCGGTTTGCATCCCCAAAATATTGTATCCAATTACTGAACCGGAGTGAAGTGCTGGGAGAGGTGGGAGCGCCTCTTCGCAAGACTGCAAGATTGTCTATTTCTTCTGGAGTGAGGGTAATGCCGAAAGGACTACGGTCCCCACAGACAGGAAGGCGAGAGATATTCGCCACGTCTTCAAGGGTAGGGGTAAATTCCCCCCATGAGCACACAAAGGTGTGAGTAGCAGTGCTCCACCTCTGGACCACGTGACGAAGCATCTTCGCTTCGATGTGGATGTCCCATAATTTGGAAAGGAAGATGGCATCAAGGACCTGTGCTCTGCGCAGGATGTTGCATGTGGATGGATCCCGCAGCTCACGGTCAACCCATTCTGACCAACCTTTACTGATGCTGCAAGGATATTGGAAGAATAGGGGAACGGCTGGAAAGAGGCCTTTTTCAATGCAGCATCTGGATATGGAGGCAGGATTAATTACAGGAGTGGTCTCAGGGGATGGCTCATCACCGGCAACGGGATTCTCACGGGCATCTTCAAGCAACAGGAGCGGCCCTCCCGCCTTAAGATTATCATCCATGGAATAGAGGTGGTCTAGCATAATCGGTAGGAGGTCAGTAGATGCCATAGTAAGTTCACTAAGTCACAGACACCTGCAAAAGGAAGAAAGGATAAAATGCATGAGTTTCAGCACCATCACGAATGCAAGCATATCTCTGTAATATCATGCCAAGACCATGTCAAGAAAGAAGAAGAAAAACCAATTCAATATCATCATGCAAATCTGTCCTATGAGAGGGGAAAAGGATTGTCTGATGCTAAAAAAAAGAAAAAAAGAAAAAAAGAAAAACAAGCCACAGGGGTAAATTATGCGAAGAAAGTCATGAAGTGGCTGGTTTACATGGTGCATGTTCCTGTTCTTTCCACCAT